CCCACCCGTGTGCCTCACCCCTGACCTGGAAGGACCCCATACTCCCAAATTCAACCACCCGGCCCCAGTGGTGACAGTCACGCTCTTGCTGACACATTAACTGGGGAAGCTAAACACCTGAGCTGCTGCAGCTTGAAGAGCTGGACTGGAGTTACCCCACATCCCCCCAGAAGCACGTTGGACATAGGGACCACCAGTGGTCAGCCCCTCGCTCCCAGCCACAGTGGGAGCCACGGACATCAGCATGGGACAGCCGAGGGCTGAGAGCATCCCCGCATGCCAGCGGTCAGCACAAGCAAGGAACAGGAGAACCAAGTGCATGGTCAAGGCACAACCCAGAAACGGGACAGCCCGGGCTTTGAGAGATTTGCACAGAGGCATGAATCACCCCTGCGCACACACAAGCGCCGCTTGTGCCGGTTCCCTTGGTGAAAGGAGCCCGCTGCAGCCGGCCGAGCCGAGCTGGAGACTGGCCTGGGAGAAATAAGTAGTTGATTGTCTCAGCCCAAGCCACGTTGAGTTCCCGGGACGTGGCTTGTGCACAAACACATGGCTGCTTCAGCCTCCACAAGCCATGGAGCCGCTTTACCCACGGCAGGCCAACAGCCAAGGTGCCGCTATCCCACCGGTGAGGCTCACAGTCCTCTCCCCCCCCCGCCAGGCACACAAAGGCACCCCACCAGAACCCACCTTCTCCAGGTGATGAGCAGAGCCAGGACTCAGCCAGCGAATGTCCTTCACAAACTGCCAGTAATCCTTCTGTCTGCAGCACACCTGCCCAGGATAGGCGCCATTAGATACCACCACCCAAATCCCAGTTAAATGACAATATAGAATCACAGAACGGCCACGGTTGGAAGGGACCTCTGGAGATCGTCTAGTCCAACCCCCCTGCTGGAGCAGGGTCACCTACAGCAGGTTGCACAGGACGGTGTCCAGGCGGGTTCTGAATGTCTCCAGAGTGGGAGACTCCACAACCTCTCTGCGCAGCCTATTCCAGTGCTCGGCCACCCTCAAAGTAAAGAAGTTCCTCCTCGCGTTTAGATGGAACTTCCTATGTTCAAGTTTGTGCACGTTACCTCTTGTCCTATCACTGGGCACCACCAAAAAAAACCTGTTCCCATCCTCCTGGCACCCTCCCTTTAAGTATTTATAAGATCCTCCCTCAGCTGTCTTTTCTCTCTACTAAAAAGACCCAAGTCCCTCAGCCTTTCTTCATAAGAAAGATGTTCCAGTCCCCTAATCATCTTTGTAACATCCCCTGTTAGCCCCTTGCTGCCAGAACAGGACAGCCCCTAAACCTGGCAAAATGGCCAGAAAATAAAGATAAGAAGAGCAGCACTGCTTTACAGAGGAAAAATAGCACAAGTGTATAACACAGTTTTGTAGATCAAGGGACCAAGTCAAAAAATACTGGCTTGATGTAGGTAAGTTGTTGCCTGCCCCTCCCATGGTGACCTCTCACTTGGGGTCAGCCCACAAGTGACCAGACCACAGATCCCCCAAGGTTCTCTTCTCCCCCCAGTAGGTAAGATCCAAGTCCACCGTGCCACAGAGACAGGAGAAGTCTTAGGAAAGGGATGGGATGTGGCACTGAAGGGCTCATACCCATGCTGTAGTGCAATAAGGATCCCAAAGGCCAACTGCAGCTCATCAGCGGATCAGGGAGCAGCGCCTGCACCTCTGCTGCCAGGCAGGCAAGGACAGGCAGACAGGAGATGGGAACGGACCTCGGGCACCAGCTACACCCACAGCAAAGTGTGTTTGGGGGCTTAGCTCTGCCCGAGTCCTCCCAATCACTCTGGGCACGGCAGCGTCACGTATGCATCCCTGGTCCTTTGAAGGTCTGCCAAGTTCAAGGTGGACCAAGTTCCCACATCACCATTCCCTTTCCTGCCGGAGCAGGACCTGGAGGGGAGCCCCGACGCCTCAGCGCCGCAGAGAGTCAGACCTCAGCGAGGAGACGCGAAGGGCAACATGGAAACACATTCTAGCAAAACCAGCAACCGTTGCTGTCTTCTTATGCAAGTCACCACCGAGGACACCAGCACGGTTGAGCACCCCAGGTAAGAAATCTGGCACTGCATTTCTCTCAGGTCTTTGCCTCAGCTTTATTCAGACAATGAGTTATTTTGTTCTTAGTTATTCTTCCCGTTAAAGAGGAACTGCAGCAGAGTTGCTGTTTTCCTCACCACCCTATTGGGTGTAAACACAGCCCCAAAATGTCTCTCTTCACGAAAAAGCTGATTATTTTTTCTTCCATCTCTATTTCCTCTTTCACAAGCATTAGAGGAATGGGTTCTGTTTTGTGGTTTATTTGGTGGGGGGTGGGTGAGGGCTGGTTTGATTTTTCAAGACTGGAGAACTAACATTGCAATTTTAGTCCTCTAGACTGAATTGGGGTTTTCTGGACAAATAAAATTCACTCAAAAGTTTAAAAACCTCTTGCCTTAGTTCTCCTCACATGCACATATGGATTTTTTTCACCTTTTTTAAATTTATTCACAGTTCTAGGAAAAAAGTTGATAAGGAAATAACACGTAAAAGGAAGTGTTTCGCTAGAGCAACTAAAAACTGCTGTTAGGAAGCTGTATTTTTACAGGCCAGCGTTTGCAGCTCTTACAGCTTGACTGGTGTCACACGTGTCCAAGCAGGGGAGACAATTCTAAGTAAAACAGCTGCCTTGGCCTATAGGAAAAGCATCGTGGAAGGCAACACGCTGTCCTGCTTTGCAGGTCTGGCATGAACTGTTACCAACAGACAGAGAAGTATAAATCATTTAAATCTCACTTCCTGAAGCCTATTAATAGCACGTCTGTCAGAAGGGAGCACTGCACTCCTCCCACGTAAAAGGTAGCTCTTCTCTCTGCAGATGTCCCAAAGAAGGTCCCCTGGTCCATGCCACTGAGGGGTAACGGGAACAGAGCAGCACCGTAACGAGTGCTGTCTGCAAATTTAAATCCAGGGAGCAAAGCACCCTGCCGGGACGACCTTCCACCCTGGCTCTTCCTGGAGGTTTATTAGGTTGAGTGCAGCGTTGCACAGGTGCGGTTTTCCTGCTCCTGGACCCAGCTGGCCCACGCACGCTGCCCGGGGCTCCCCTGCATCACTCGCTTCCCTGCATTGCTCTCTGGCCGGCAGAGCCGCCGGGAAGCCCGCCCTCAGGCATGCCCTGCAGCCTTGCTTCAACTTTCCACAGTAAATTAATTGTGCTGGTAATCGCAAGCTGAAGGGGAGACCTTCAGGCCTCTGCACAAAAGTGGGAAAGAGAAATTCTTCCAGGCAGCCAGGGAGGGGGGAACGGCTGGGCGAGGAACTGCGAGGCACAACGAGAGCCTGGAAAGAGAGATCCCATTCACGCAGAGCGTGGATTTGGCTGCCAGCTCCTCTTATTAACACAGCTAACCAGAAACAGTAAAGACGTGAGGTTTCTCTTGCCAGACCTTGCTGGGGAGTCATCCAAGTGCAGATGATACGGGGCTGACTCATTGCAAACGTAACTTTATCGCTGGGCAGTGGCAGGAAGAAAGGAGAGAGGGGCTGGCTTCAGCGCGGGGGCACAGGTACTTAGAAAAACCATGTTGAAGGTGGATGAGAGAGAAAGAACATGTACCCAGGTCCCTCTGACAACCACAGCACTTGCCAGGCAAGCTCACTCCCTGCTTCGATCATGTCCCACACTGCTACAAGTGTTGTACCCACTCCACGCTACGAGCACTGAAGCGAGTCGCAGCAGACAGGACTGTCCCACCTGCCCACAGGCACCAAAGCTGCTACAAACAGACAGAATCACAGAATCCCCTAGATTGGAAAAGACCTGTAAGACCTTCTAGTCCAATCATTAACCTACCCCTGCCGAGCCCACCTCTAAACCATGTCCCTGAGCACTCTATCTACACGACCCTTAAACACCTCCAGTGATGAGGACTCCACCACTGCCCTGGGTAACGCGTTCCAATGCCTGATGACCCTTTCAGTAAAGAAATTCTTCCTAATATCCAATCTAAACTTCCCTTGGCGCAACTTGAAGCCAAAGACAGCAGTGCTGGCAGGACAGAGCATTACCTTGTCGTGGATGAGCCCGTGGTAGAGGATGCTGTGCATGTCTCTGCAGAGGCGTTCCAAGCCACCATACTTGGACCAGACATTCGGGTTGCTGGTGGATACCAAACCTTCCACTGTGGTCTTCAGGTTCCCTAGCAGCTTCCAATGCTCCTTCCTGCAGAGGAACACAGCAAGTTCCATCAGATATACAGCAAGAGGAGCTTCACAACAGGACCACGCTATTGCACTCTCTCCAAGGAGACTCTGGTCAGGCTGAAACCTTTGGTGGTCCAGAAGCTAACAAAGGCGAACCAAAGGATTTCACACCTCCCTGTGGTCTCCCATCCATGGTTTGTGGACAAGAGGCCATATCATAATGATTCTTGTGATGACTGGTAGCCACCACCAACACGGTCTCAGGAGACGGCCAGAACAAAGACTGATGGCTCCTGCGATATACCACTTGCTTGGTACAGGCCAACAAAGCTGGAGGACACCTTTCCAGCCAGCCTCTTGCTTCCTTCATTTAAATCTCTACCAGAGACTGGTCAGAGCAGCATCCCGTCAGGAATACAGCAGCTGTAAAGCAATGGCACGACATCCACCACATCTACCAGACGCTGGACATGCTGCACCCGCATTTACAGGCAGTGGCACTCCCTGAGAAACGCACACCGCATTGAGCACTCCAGCACCACCAGGATGAAGAGGTGCTCCACTCCAAGGCTGGTAACCCTCTATCTGCACCTCCATCTGTACAGCTGCCCTCTGACCCCCGAGCTGTTGTAGGCGCAAATTGACTTTCTCGCAAAAGTGTTTGTTACGTTCTGGACAGAGATGATTAGCAAACTGCAGGTGTGCTCTAGAGCTTGCACAGCATCTCTCATCGATACCACCCCCTTCAGCTACCCTGCATACAGCAAGAAATCACCATTATCCACCAAAAAGCGGGAGCGATGGTGCAGAGAGGTAACGTCACTTGCCTATGCAAAAGCAACTTTGGGGAAGGAAGCTTTGGACGACTGAGGTCCCCGCTCAAGCTGTTTGACAGCGTTGCCAGAGGAACAGCAGCCGTCAGAAACACATATTCAGATAGGAGCCACTCTCTCCAAAGGAACAGGAATGTTGCAAGGTATATTTGGGGATGTAAAAACCAAAAAAAAAAAAAAAAAGCCTCTGCAGGGTTTGTAACAAAAGCACCCAAGGTGACAGCTTAGGATGAAAGTCCAGCCTTTCAACTGGCAAGAAACAAGCCACAGTGTTTCAGCTGTTAATCCCTCCCACAGCCAAAAACAAACTGGATTTCCAAAGCAAAAGGGAAAAGGGGGGGGGAGAGGGGGGGGAATAAATTCAAAATAAATAACATTATTTAAAACTGCTCTCATTTTCATCCCTTGTGGATGAAAGTGTGGGCTGCACACTTCTGCAGCACAGAGGACAGTAAAAAGTAACACAACCCTGGTATTTAAAACCAAGCTTTTCTTGCCAATATTCTCTTTTTGAGACTTGTTCGCTATTACCAAACTGATTAAGCAAACAAGCAGATCATCAAATATTGGCTCTCCTTCAAGCTTCCCAGCCATTCCCTTCACAAGGTCCTCCCAGGGAAACCTCACCACTTTCAGTGCCCACCAAAGCTTAAACCGTGCAGAAGCCAACCCATCCCACCAGCAAAGCCTCTCGCCTTGACAGCACAGGAGCTCTACACCAGAGCTGCAATGCATATGGTAGTACGTATATGTTTATGATGTACTTGTCTAACAAGCACGGTCAGGGCTTTATCTCAGGAGAGACGGAAGAAGAAAGCGCGGATATAAACCAAAGGCAGCTTCGGGAAGGAGATCCGACTTGGGCAAAGAAAACTGATCCAGCTCTTCTGAATTTATGGGTTTTTCCCACCCCTGCCCTGAGGGATGGAGACGCTCTTTGACCAGGGACCAGTGATGTTGCTCTGGACATCCATGGATGCTCAGAGCAGCATTGCCGGTCCCTGGTCAAAAAGCATCTGCAGCCACTGAGCTCAAAACTTCATCAGCTCCTCCCCAAGGTATTTCTGACACTCCGAGTTAGGAAACGCAAGTGAAAGCTCAGCCATGCCATTGATCTTCCAAGTCAGTGAGTCAGGGGAACTCCCTCCCGTGTTATTTCCTGCTATAAAAAGCAGGCGATGTACACAAGGATGCGGGGGTAGGACACGCAGAGCTGTGCTTTTCCACATGAAATGTCTCATTAATGGAGTTGTGCATCTGCCCAGAGGTAGGAAGCCTGGATCCAACAGACTGGAGGCACAGCTCCCTCCTCGCACAGGGAAACGAAGGTTAAGCAATCCTTGAACAAAATACACTCAAAATGTTAAAACATTGAACTCCGAAGCAGATAGGGAATGAGCAGCACAAAGAAAGCACCTTTGCAGAGGTGATGCAGAAGCTACCAAAGGGAATTAAATCCCTGCAAGACAGTAAGGATCCCATGAGACTTGTTGGCCCAAAGCAGTTCACAAGTTGGAATGCACAAGACCCTACCGATACCCAAAACCCAGCTGTTTCTGGACTGGAACGTGGTGCATGCTGAAAACCCTACAGTGACACAAGGCTGAAGAAATGAAGACCCACAGAGTTGGTTGCAGGTGGCAGGGAAAAAGAGGGAGCGCAGCTAACCACATTTCAGCTTTGACCGGACTCGTGGGTTAACCCCAAATTAGCAGCAGGGTTTGCTCCCCTCCCGTGGACAGAGCCTGAGCTTGGGCTGCCAGGAGGGACAGAGAAAGCCTGAGTCTCACCCTCAAGTTCCCCGTTTCAGCAGGTGTTCGGAGCAATACTAAGAAATCTGCTTGTTTTTTCCTGAATAAAGAAAACTCGCCTTTCCTAGTGCTAAAGAAAGCCTGACACGGGGTAAGGCCAATTCGTATCACATCATGAGAACACCCCGACTTACAGGAAGGGCAAAGTGAGCAACACACCCCAGAGAGGTCACGGTACACGAGCAGAGCTTCCACTGCAAGAACCGCACGTGCTCCTGTTCTCCTGCGCTAGCAGAGCCTGGTTCCCCCGGCCACAAGGGCCGAGGGTGTCCGCAGGGGCCATCGCTGGTGGAGCACCGGTGAGACCTCAGCCCATCCCTCTCCTTCCTTAAAGATGGCCTCTGATCCAGCCTCCAATTTTAACCGCCAGCTCCGCAAACTCGGTGGTGGGTCTCCTTGCTTTACCACCACAAACTCCATCCTCAGGTACAGCAACGCCAACCCGCTGTCAGGAACTGTCCCAAATATAACTGAACCTTTTGCACAGGAGTGACAAAAGACAGAATCCAGCCTTGGAGCAAGCAACACTTTAATGGCACTGCTGATGACAACGACAAGGAAACGCTGCTTGCTCGCCCAAGGCTTTCGCAGCCCCTCCATGCCAGGAAGGGTAGGAACTTCTCTTGGTCCAAGTCAGCAAAGGTGACTCACAGCAGAGGGAGGGAGCCACACTGCTGACTCAGGTGAACTTCTTCATTTAAAATAAAACCAATCCTTAGTTGCTTTCCAGAAGAGAATCGTGCAGGTAGCTAGTATTAAAAAAATAAAAAGAAAAAAAATGAAGCTCATCTTTCTTGCAAACAACATCTGCTGTGTGTCTCCCCGTGCTCTGCAGGAGGCATCTAGCAATGGCTGCTTGAATCCTGTCCTCTACCTGGAGGAGTCTCTCGATCCTTCTTAGCACACTACAGAGGTCGGGCTGAGGATACTGAGGTCGTGAAGGGACTTCCACCGGGTCTCTAAGGACATTCCCGTGCCGTCTGTCAGTTCCTCCTGCAGATCCCCAAGGTGCCGCAGAACCCACCACTGCCGTGGTGCCCGCTCCCACCTCACTGTCCCCGGCTCTCCCAGACAACCATCAGCCCCTTCTCCTGGTTTTCCCCTGGGCACTGTTGGGAAAAGGGATTAAAAGAAAGGCAGGCTCCGTGCAATCCATCTGCAGCCATGGGGAGCGGCTGACGAGGCAGAGGAAGCCAGTAGAGCTCTGCCAGCCCGGCAGGTCAGCCCGGCAGTGCCCGGCCGGAGAGAGCCAAGCAGGCTGGCTGGGAAACCCCAACGCAGGGTGGCTTGCACTGGTACTAAAAGCTTGCACCGGTAAAAAACCGGGGGCAAAACCACAAAAGGCTCCCCCAGCAAACGCAGCCCAGAGCTGCTGCTGGCTGGAGCGCTCTTGCTCTGCACTGCCAAAGGATGAGGGGAGAAAATAGGGATGAAAGGTGTTTTTTAGCCTTCTCCCAGCATGGCAGATAGTTTTACCTGCTCATCCTGGCAAAGTCTCTCACATGCAGATGACCACAAGCTGTGGACCCAGGAGACTGTCCATCGGGCTTCCATCTGCCCAGGACCTGCCTGCGAAAAGCATGCAGGCAGCCAGAGGCAGCAACAGGCAGAAGAGACCCTCCCTGCAGCCCACCTCCCCGGGATCAGCCGCTCTCCTCCCCCATCGCTCCCAGTGCAGGTTCCCCTTAGGGACCCTCTCCCCTGGCCCTGCTGTCCCTGGGGGCACTGGCCGGTGCCGGAGCCGAAGGCGGCAGCTCTTTGCTAACCAGCCCAGCTGACCAGTGGCCCCTCCGCTCCCCCTGGCACCACTGCATCCTCCGGACCACCCACCAGCTGCTCCGAGGCACGGAGAGCCCTGCTCTCTGCCCGGCAGGAAGAGAGCACCAACGTCCCCGCCAAGCCTCAACAGACATCAGCATTACAGCCCCTGCTCCCCGACGCATTTCGGACCCGCTCCTTAGGAGGAGAGACAGCAAAACCCGCCACGAGATCCTCATCTCCCTCTCCTGTGCCAGCAGAAGGATGGACTTCAGCAAAATAACCTTTGCTTCTGCGTTTCCCATGATCCATGGGAAGATGGATCCGGTGACCTCTATCCTATTGCTCTCAGTCACGGCCACAATCTATAGCGAAACGGCACCTCCCCGGGAATTAAAACGCTAAACAGTTTGTACGAAGGACAAGGAGGTTGTGTGGGGCCCGTGCCAGGATCATCCCCAGCGCACCACGGGGAGCGGGGGGGGAGCAGGAGAACAAGCAGGTCCCAGCGTGTGCCAGCACCGGAGGGGACAAGTCCCTCCTCGTCGCTGGGAGGGGGGCGAGGGGGGGGAGGGCTGGGGGTGGCACCACGTCAGCCCTATTAGTCACACGATGGCAGAGCCTGGTAGTGCAGGACTTGGACTCGCAAAGGCAAGAAAATGCACAAAGATGATTCTGGAAAGAAAAAAAGAAGCGAATGCCATCAGTTCCTCTCACCGCTCCGGACCTGCTGGGTCTCCAGCGCCAGCTAAAGAAGAACAGCTCAAACCCTGCAAACCAGAAGGCAGCCCAAACCCCTCGCTATAGCTTTAAAAGCACCGGTAGCGTTTTCCCGGCTGATATTGCCAGTGGGAACGGATCGGCTGGCTGAGCCCCAAAGATAAGGAACGCGTCTCTCCCCGAATCGAGTTTCAGCCGCTCCCCACTCCCCAGCCAACACCGTCCCCATGTCTCCATCCCACACCCACCCCGCGCTCCCGAGCACAACCGCAGCAACAAGGCGAAGGCTGAAGATGGGCAAAAACCCCCCTGAAATAAATAGGGTTCGTCATCAAAACGCCTCCAAGGGAACAACCTCTGCTGCTTTTATAAACGCCAACAAGAAGAACCAGGCCTCAAGCGTAAGTGATGGCCATGCGGGCGAAGCCACCGCAGCCCCGGCGGCTCTCACCACCCGTCACGTGTGGCCTTCAGTGACAGCGAGAAGGTGAAGGCTTCTTCTCCCCAGCACCTCGAAGGGGTGGCCGCTGCCCACCGCCGGGAGGAGAAGGGGACACGATCCGAAAGCCGTGGGGTCGCCAGAAGGGTGTCAGGGCGAGGTGTCAGGGCGGGGTGGCATCACCCCCCCGCAGAAGGCGTGCAGAGCGCAGGCATGGCGGTGGCGGCGGCTGCCTCGGCCACAGGGGATGGA